TTTGTCACTTGTAAGTGACACAGACACCTGACAGTGATTTCCTAATGATCCCAGAATTTTAATTGTGGTTTTAGCTATAATAAGTACATCTGCCCCAGAGTAGTTATAAAAATTAAAACCAAAGTATAGTACTCTGTAAATACTTTCTATGTATTGCACTAGCACCATTAGTATTCTAAACGTCCCTATGGGATTAGATTAGCAGGTATGAGTTAGAAGAAGTAAATATTTACCACTATCCTAAATGGTTAACTATATACAATGTTTAAATTTGGGGCCATTAAAAAATTAGCTCTTTTGCACTTATTTTGAAACTGTAAACAAAATTGGAAATATGAAATGTCAAGCTATAAATGGGGATGTTGCATGTAAAACAACTCACCTAGTTCCAAGTTTCCACCCCTGCAAGTGAACCAAAAACAAATCCTGGCAACCTGTCATTCCCAGAAAAGCCAGTGCATGGCACACTCTGGGTAAATTTTCTCTCTTATTCTGTGGAACTGCACCAGATGGCATCAGTCCTGCATGTACAGCTGTGCCCTAAAATTGAAGTTCAGATATAGGAGTCTACTTTATTAGACATTTTAGATTTTGCAGGTGTGAGTGTGATGTCATTCTCATTCAACTTAAAATGGTTATCTTTCCAAGTGGAACTGCTGATTCACTGCCTCGACAGGTTTGGAAATCAGTGAAACAATCAAGATTATTTACCCTAATAAAATTCGAAGTCATTTTAAACAACTGAAATTTAGACACAACAATGAAATAAGAACACCTGACATAAAATACTAACATTTCATAATAACTGAATTATGGCTCATTTCCTTATAATGTAAGAAATTCAACTCAGCTTCTAACATGGCTGAAGAGTCACTAAATACCTTCTATTTGAAATAGAACATAAGAATCTTCTATAATCAAGTTACATTTGAATAATGAGCCGTTATTTTAAATGTTCCTTATTTTTCAAATGTTTTAATGTTTAACCCACATGCATAGCATCTTTGAAAATCAGTTTGGGATAGTGATAGGATCGGAATGTGGTCAGCGGATGGAGCAGCCAGCATGTACAAACTGGGAAACTAGAGCATTGTGGGTGTTAGAGCATTAGATCAAGAATACATACAGATAGAAAAAAAAGTGAGTTCAGAAGTAGTTCTAATTTGGGAGGTCAGTCTTTGTTGAGTTTTGGAAAAATGATGATTGAATAAATGAATAGAAAAAGGCAGTTCAAGTACAGGTGTCAAAGTTTCAAAAGCAGAGTGCCTAACCAAGCAGGGGTGAGGCAGGAGAACAACAGCTGCAAGTTCTGGGAGCAAATGTGAAGAGGCTTAATTCCCAGAGTTTAGGGCCACATTCCAGGCAGGCAGTGATGGAGTAACAGGAATAAATAGTTTTTTTGGTTTTTGTTCTTTTTTTTTTTTTTTTTTTTGCCTATTAAAATGGCAACTTAGTAATTAATAGATTACAAGGAAGGTATAAAATGGCACTGGGCACAAGATAGAAAAGTAACCATTCCTTTCATGTCCTTCCAAACAAAGTCAGTAGAACCACAACACAGATTAATCCTGGGATGGCAGCACACTACTCACCCTCAGTTCTCCAGAGTCTCCTCTCTAGAAGAGTCAGGGCTCGTTTACACCTCTGGACACCAGTGGCACTGCTAGGAAGATTAAAGGATTACAAAATCAAGAAGTCAAGGAGGTGGTTAAAATAATTTTCATTCCAGTTATTAATAAAGTACGAAGTGGTTGTTTTCCAACCTTGTAAACAAGTATAATTGCTAATTAACTACTCCTGCACTCATCTTCAGTGTCCATATTAACCATATAACCCTATAGTTAAATGCCACTATGGAGGTGTCAACCAATTAGAGACCTATTGTTTAAAATACAAGATAGAGTCACTGCAGTTGATTCTGGGATTCAAACTGGAAATTCAAATGAAGTCATACTATAGCTCTGATAAAGAGAAGGATGGATAGACAGACAGAATTATATATATTTATACATAGAGAGAAATATATGCATATATATACACATACATACACACACCTATACTTCATTAACAACAGGTCTGTTCAAGCAAAGTGAAATAGAAATATGGGAAAGTATCTGAATGTCTCAGCCAATAAAAAAAAATTTTCCCCATAATTATGTTTACCTACATGAGACTATTTTTCCTTACCTTGAATTAACAAAGTAATTGTCTTCTGCTTTACTTTCATATTATCAACTTGGGCAAAACTTAGTATTTTGTTGTTTTTATCCTCTCTACATGGTCATTTTACCTCAAATTAATAAATATTTTCAAAATTCAGTCATGACATGGACAGCTTATCCCACCTCAATGTGACTGACCCAAATCTTCCCTTATGAAGACAAAAGATACCTGCATTACATATTTCAACTCCTAGACCCCCTGCACTGTTTTCCAAAAGAGTAGGATGTTTATTAAAATTGCAAACACTCCTCACATCCCATTCTAATTTCTACGCTCCTCTACATAGACACTGATTCTTGCCCTGAGTTAGGAATCAGTTTGGCTCCTCACTTCTAATAGAAGTTCATCAGTTCTAAGTGGGACAGAGTTCTTTCATTGCTCCCATTTCCTCCATCTTAACCTCTCACTTTTTCAGGCCCTGGGTCTTCAGAAGTTTAGCTGTAACCACCGACAAAGTGTCATCCGGGGCGGTGCCCTCTTACCATTGGCAGAAGACGTCCATCTCGGGTTGTTCAGGTCCCCTCTGTGAAGGGTTTCCCATTACCAACCGGAGCTGCAGTTGCCGCCTTCAAGGCACCAACCCAGGGCAGCAGCTGGACTCCAGAACTCGAGACAGCAAATATCGAGCAAAAAGCATCTGGAAGATGAAACTCTTATTTCCCCAAACTGACATTGCCTGGAGAGTGCTTAGGGCACATTAATGAGAAGTTTATTGCTGCCGGTCAATCTTCTCGCAAATGGTCTAGTCACGTATTCTGAAAAGACATCCTTGCTCCTCCGGTCCTCTTTTTCCTATTGCCCTAAAACGTGTAAACAGTACCTCTTTTCACCGGCCCTCCAGAGCAACCCCAAGGCACCTCTCAAATGACTTCTAAGTCTCGCCGTCCCGCTGTTCCAGATTCTAAACCCACCCGGTGTGGCAACTCTGTAGCCATCAACCGGGTCGGTGACTAGGAGAGGAGCAAGGATATAGGGGAAGATAGGCCGCTGCCAGACGAACCCCATTTAGCCTCTACCAAAGGGCAAAGATATTTAAAGCAGTATTCGACATACTTCAAGTGCGCACTGTTTCCTCCTGCTCCCTGTCCCAAAGCCCGTACTCTAAATAATTTGGACATTTAGGTTGACATTCGATTTTTGGAATCAAATTTGGTATGTAAGGTTGGGCTGAATTATCCGAATGATTTAGCTTGCCATCCTTTGGGAACAAGCTAAAATGCAGTGGGACTGGGAAGAAGAGCTTGCAGGTGCCCAAAGCCATTCCGGCTCCAAAGGCTGAACGTCTCTCTTTCTCCCTCTCTCCCCACCCCGGAAAAGCTGAGGGTCCATTCCTAAGAGCACAGCGCTAGCCCACACCCCATACACCCACCGTGCCTGGCAACAGAGCGTGCTTCCAGCCCAGAGCCTCCCCGAGGGGCCGAGAAACTCGCCCCTCCGCAGGCCCCTTCCACCTCCGAACGAACCTGCCAGCGTTACCACGGAGCCTAGCACTGGAACCTGGGTGGCCACGCGGACAGAGAGTCGAGGCTAAGACCCAGCCTGGCGCCCGCGCAGCTCCGTGCCCTCCCGCTAGTGCCCGCGCCTTACGGGTCACACCGCTTGCTCTCGGGAGAAGCCCCAAGGCTCCCGGTGCAGTGAGAGACGCCCAGGCTGGAGCGCCCCAGCCGTGCTGGCCACAGAGTTCTTCAGCTGCTTGATGACCACGAAGAGCAAGAGGAAAAGTAAGAAGAGCAGGAAGAAAAAGAGCGCCAGGTAGAGCAGAAAGTTGAGCTCCCACTCCATGCTGGAGGCACCGACGCTCGGTGGTTGTGCGCGCTAGGCGCGGATAGCAGCTGGCGGACCAGGCTTGCCACCCGCTCTCCCACCTCCGAGTCTCCTCCGCCCCCTTACGGGCGCCCGGCGTTGGGCGCCTACTTCTCGGTCCGTGCTCGGCCTCCCCCAGTTCGGAGGAAAAGCGCCAAGGAGCTGGCTAATCCCAGCTCCGCCTCTCCCAGCAGGCACGAGAGCCTCCCGCCTCACTGAGATCCTCTCCTGCGCTCTTGGGGACGTGAGCGGATTTTTCTAGGAGCGAATTTAGCGGGCGGGGACGCCAGGAGAAGAGGTCACGGCTCAGTCTCCCAAAGGGTGTTGGGGCTGGTGTTTTTAAAATGATTTTAAGATTTCCAGCCCCATCAACCAATGGGTCCCTAGTCCCCTCCCTTCCTAATTAATTGATTTCCGGATATTTCCCCCTGTCCTGGTTTTCCCAGAGGGAAAACATGCCATGGCCCAGAAACCCAAAAGAATTAAAGGTAGCAGTGAAGGTGGGATCTAAAGGGCTATTAGATGACTTCCTTCTGTGAGATGACTTCATGGTGCCTGCGTGAATTCCAGTTCAACCTGCCTTGCTCTTCAGAGTCCCACACGTACTCAGTCCAGAGTGCTCTTTTCTATGGACAACAACAGGCCACTTACAAAAGCATTAATAACAGGGGCACCTGGGTGGCTCAGTCGGTTAAGCCTCCAACTTCCGTTTAGGTCATAATCTCATGGTTCCCGAGTTCAAGCCCTGCGCTGGGCTCTGTGCTGACAGCTCAGAGCCTGGAGCCTGCTTGGGATTCTGCCTCTCCCTCTCTCTCTAACCCCCAACTCTCCCCCCCACCCCCGCCCCACCCTCTCCCAAAAATAAACAAACATTATAAACATTACAAAAAAAGGAGTAACTGGCTGGCTCAGTAGGTAGAGCCTGAAACTCTTAAAAAAAAAAAAAAAGGAAAGAAAAGCATTAACAACAAAATGCATTTCAAAAGCTATATTGTACAAAGCTTCACAGAATGTTGACTTGAAATTGAATTTCCTTGGTGGAAAGCAGAAACAATAAACAATTACTTGAAATGTTCGTTTAAGTCCCTAACACCTATCTGTATTTGGTTAAGATCACCCATAATCTATATGGTGTAGCTTTTAAAGAAATCCAGTTTATCCAGAGCTGTGTAACAAATTGCCCCAAAACTCAATGCCTTAAGACAACAGAAACATTGGTTCTCTCTCATAGTTTCTGTGAGCTAAGAGTTTGGTAGCACTTAGCTTGGTGATCTGGCCTGGAGTTTCTTACGAGGTTAGGGTCAGATGTCAGGCAAGGCCACAGTCACCTGAAGGCTTGTCCGGAACTGGAGGATCCACTTCCAAGGTAGCTCACTTTTATCACCAGAACAGTGCTGGCTGTTGGTGAGAGGCCTCAGCTCTTTCCCATGTGGACTTCTCCACAGGCCTGCTTGTGTGTCCTTATAACACTGTGCTGGCTTCTCCCATAGCAAGTGGCCCAAGAGAACAAGGCTAGCTCTTTGTGGCTAGCTTAAGAAGTCATATATCAACACTTCTGTAATGTCCTGTTAGTCACACAGGTGAGGCTTACAGTGAAGGAGTCCAAGGACATGAACATCAGGGGTAAGGATCATCGGGGGCCATCTTGGAGTCTTGCCATCAAAGCTGGTAATGCAGCATGTTGTCATTGTCCATTTTATGGGCCTCCGACTTATTTCATTTTTTATTTGTGAAGATACAGGAGAGCCCCCTGGGCTGAATTCAGGGAATAAGTCTTGACATACACATTCCAGATTATTTAATAGTCTGCCTGTAATAAATGGCTACTCCAGGGATGGCAAGGGTTCAAAGAAACAGGATGGTATGGAAAAAGCTGTGAACTGGTAGTCTTGAGGACCCAAATCTAGTTTCTACTCCACCTGTCAGAGGTTACTTCAGTTCTCTGACTCAGTCCCCTCACCTATAATATACCTTGCTTACCTTTTCCCTGGATTTGTTGTAAGGATAAAAAATAAATTAGGATGTTGAATAAAAATGTGGTTTGCTAGATAAATGTCAGATACTATTATTAATCTGTTGCTGAGGATTCCCAGTGTATAAAAATATACTGTGCAAAATTTCTAGCTCCTAGGCATCTCACCAAGCATTGTACTATATAAGAAATCTCTCTCTTGATTATTAATCCATCTCATAGGCAGTGGTGTGCTGGCTCATAAATTATTTGGAAAAATTTTGCAAGCCATTTGTTAAAATACAGCTATTGTTAAAAATTAAATCATATAGGGGTGCCTGGTTGGCTCAGTCCAAGAGCATCCAGCTCTTGATTTCAGCTCAGGTCATGATCTCACGCTCTGTGGATTCAAGCCCAGAATTGGGCACTGCACAGACAGTGCAGAGCCTGCTTGGAATTCTCTCTCTCCCTCCCTCTCTCTCTCAAAATAAATACAAAATAAAGAGCAAAAAAATCATATAAACTTATAAATTATGTTAACAACAAAGGTAATGAATACTCATAAATAAATACTCATAGGGGCGCCTGGGTGGCGCAGTCGGTTAAGTGTCCGACTTCAGCCAGGTCACGATCTCGCGGTTCGTGAGTTCGAGCCCCGCGTCAGGCTCTGGGCTGATGGCTCAGAACCTGGAGCCTGTTTCTGATTCTGTGTCTCCCTCTCTTTCTGCCCCTCCCCCGTTCATGCTCTGTCTCTCTCTGTCCCAAAAATAAATAAACGTTTGAAAAAACAATTTTAAAAAAAAATAAAATAAATAAATAAATACTCATAAATAAAAACTAATTACTTCTGAATTATTTTACTACATTTCACTATTTTCTATGCACTTGAGGTTATTTACATCTGTTGTAGCTGTATGGCTGAAATATTATATAATAGTATATTACTGTACATCTTTTTAAAATTTTTTTTATGTTTTTATTTTATTTTTGAGAGAGAGAGTGTGAGCAGGGGAGGGGCAGAGAGAGAGACGCGGAGACACAGAATCCGAAGCAAGCTCCAGGCTCCCAGCTGTCAGCACAGAGCCCCAAGTGGGACTCAAACTCACAGACTGAGATCATGACCTGAGCCAAAGTCAGTCGCTCAACTGACTGAGCCACCCAGGTGCCCTGAAAATCTCTTTTCAGCTGTGTTCAGATGTCATGTGGGTAGCCTGAAATTGGCCACAGTGGGAGTGTTTGCCCTTGGAAATGTACAGATGTTACAAATCAGGGCCAGAGAGCCAGTTGTTAAACAATTACCACCACGCTATGGCTCATGGAGCTACTGAGGAGAATTTAAAGTCTTACCTGAAAGCAGAGATTTGTAAGATTTGTGAAGCACCACATGTTCTTACTGGTAGAATACTCCATTTTACCTAATCTTGATAGGAGGACAGAATCCAGTGACTGCTTTCCACTGCCACCTCCCATTATGGAAACCAGGAGGGTCAGATATATCTTTTACTCACTCCTGATACAATGCAGGAAGAAGGGCAGAAAGAGCCATGCCAGAAACTCAGCCAAATATCCTCAATGCCACAACTCTGAAGTTTGGGAGCAGTCAGAACAGGAGGAAATGTTTGGAGGTTAGATGCATCCCAGTGGCAGAGAAACTCCAAGACCCAGACCAGTCCTGGGAGTGACCTGGGTGTGGATCTCATTGCCTGCCTCCGTGATGTCCTTTACTCTGCCCTTTTCCCAAACTTGACTCTCCTGCCTCTCTTCCATTCTGTGAGCTGCCACTGGTTTTCCAGTAGATCTCCTTATTGTAGCGAGGAGTAGTGTTTAATGGCAGCTTGCCGATGGGAATACTGACTTGGGAAAGCATTACTTACACACTTTACATATGTTATATGCTTAAAATCAATAAAGTGTTTGAAATATGCCATTTGGCACATTGCCATCCAGATAGCCAAGCTATCAAAGGATGGAAATTGAAACACAGAGAGGTTACATGACCTCCTTAAAGCCACACAGCTAACAAGTGGCAAAACTGGGATGTGAACCAAGGGAGTTTGGCTCCAGAACCTTCACTGTCAACCCCCATGGTATCCTGTCTCCCAGAAGAAAGTACCCTTTTCTTGGGTATCACCATCAAATTAATGATCACACTTTTTTTTCTTTTGAGTGTCAAATAAAACACATTTCAAGAAATACATACGTTTTGTTTACTTACATCTCAGCTCTTTTCTTTGAAAGCTTGAAGGTAAAAGCTTCAAATGAGCCAGTGTTTGCCTGGAGATGCTGAGGAAAGAAGCCAAGGGATGAAAGTTTTAGGTCACCACGTTCAAACCCATTTCAGCCTTCCTGACCATAACTATTTAGATTTTCCATTTATCTGAGCAGCTTAAATAGATTTATAAATATTAACTAATATATCCTCATAGTCACTCTCAGTAGGATCTATATTTGAAATAATGTTGCTACAACAAAAAATAACTTACTACATTTATTACATGTTTCCAGTACTTTTAAGCCTCTGGTCATATTTATATACCTCATAAGATGGTCTGAATTCAGTTTCTATTATATAAATGACTCCATAGAAATAAGACACAATCTTTCTCTACCTAAGTGTGCATATTAATGGAAATATATGGAAAGAAAACCTAAGAATTTAAAGGGCAGAAAGGACACTTACTATAGATAAGCATTTGTCTGGTTCTAGCACCTAAAAAGAAAGCCCTTGTATACAAACTGGTAAAGTAGATGGAGGCTCCGTCATTACAATCACATACAACTGTCCACAAAGTTGACCCTACATATGCTTCCACATAACATGGCACTACTCAGAGTCAGACTTTATGTATCATTCAACTCCTCAGTCCACTCCTTACAAGTCTCAGAACAAATGGATATTGACCCAGGGCTGTTCCAAGTCCTGGCTTATGGACAGCTATGGTGTATATTAGAATAGGGTTCTCTCTCCCTTTGCCTGCTCTGTTCCTCCTCACCCTCACCTCTGATAGGGAGGGATCTTTTATCATAACAAGCATCAAAGCTATTTATGAGAAGTGATTAAGGGTAGCAATAGAAGAGTTTGTCTTATAAATAAGTGTGCTTCTCTAAAGACTATAAAGACCCGGGCACCTGGGTGACTCAGTCTGTTAAGCATCAGACTCTTGGTTTCAGCTCAGGTCATGATTTCATGGTTTGTGGGTTTGAACCCCAAGTCGGGCTCTGAGCTGGCAGCATGGAGGCTGCTTGGGATTCTCTCTCTCTCCCTCTCTCTCTCTGCCCCTCCCCGCTTCTCAAAATAAATAAATAAACTTAAAAAAAAAAAAAAGACTCTAAAGACTTAAGAGAACACCACGGAAGGGCTGTAAAGTTCTACTGTCACCACCTCAGGGTGAAACCTCCCAGGACTTACCTATTGGGAGTAAGTGCAGGATTGAAGCAGCTTCCCCAAGACAGGGGAAGGATAAAAGTGGGAGAATAAGAAAAAGAGACTTCCAGGCACCTTTATTTTTTTTTAAGTTTATTTATTTATTTTTGAGGGGCGGGGGAATGCAGAGAGAGAGGGAGAGAGAGAGAATCCCAAGCAGGCTCCATGCTGTCGGGGCAGAGCCCAACATGGGGCTCAGTCTCATGAACTGTGAGATCAGGAACTGAGCCAAAATCAAGAGTTGCCTTATTTCTTTTTTAAGAGTTGCTTGAAAGAAAGAAAGAAAGAAAGAAAGAAAGAAAGAAAGAAAGAAAGAA